AACCACTTCAGAGATTCATGAGAGCTCTGGGTGGTTGAGAGCACTCTGGTGGTGCATGAATGTTTGGTAGCTGCTGGAGGACCTCACAGCCTGCACCCTGGTTTGGTCCCCATCAGGAACTGGAGGGAATTTGGACTGAATTTCAAGCAGAACTTCTGGTTTAGCTTCCTCCAAAAAAGCTACCAAGGTTGCTCAAGGTAAGTAGGGGCAATCCAAGTGGTTTGCCTCAAAACTGCACTGCTCCAAACCAAATGTCTCATAGACAAAGCCTAGCTCAACTTAGTCTGCACTAAGGTGGTCCTATTTTCCATCTTCCCCACAGCTCCATGCTCCTACCCCATCTGCAGCTGTTGGGGAGCAGTAAGGGCCAGCTGTTCCCTAAGGAACAGGGAGCCTGCAGCAAGGCATGGCAACATGGCCAGCGGGAAGGTGGCCTCACCAATATCCAAGCAAGGCAAGCCCAAAGATGATAGTCAGGTTCAAGAGTCCAGATCATCAGGCAAGTCTAGGATAGAATCATAGACTCATAGAATTGTTTAGGTTGAAAAGACCTTTAAGATCATCCAGTCCAACCATTAACCTAACACTACCAAGTCCACCACTAAACCAATTAAGGGTCGAATAATAATAATGAATGTCATGTTTCCTGGCTTGGTGGCTGGATTATTTTTTAATGAAGTAAAACTAGGAATCATTAAAGTTAGAAAGGATGTCTAAGATCATCAGTCCAACCATTCAACCCAACACCACCATGGCTACAAAACCATGTCCCAGAGTGCCACATCTACCCATTTTTTGAACACCTCCAGGGATGGTGACTCCACCACCTCTCTGGGCAGTCTGTTCCAATGCTTGACCCCTCTTTCCGTGAAGAAATGTTTCCTAGTATCCAATCTAAACCTCCCCTGATGCAACTTGAGCCCATTTCCTCTAGTCCTATTGCTAACTACTTGGGAGAAGAGACCAACACCCACCTCACTACAACCTCCTTTCAGGTAGTTGTAGAGAGCGATAAGGTCTCCCCTCAGCCTCCTCTTCTCCAGACTAAATGACACCAGTTCCCTCAGCCGCTCCTCATAAGACTTGTGCTCCAGACCCTTCCCCAGCTTTGTTGCCCTTCTCTGAACATGCTCCAGCACCTCAATGTCTTTCTTGTATTGAGGGGCCCAAAACTGGACACAGTATTCCAGGTGCAGCCTCACCAGTGCTGAGTACAGTGGGACAATCACCTCCCTGCTCCTGCTGGCCACATTATTCCTGTTACAAGCCAGGATGCTGTTGGCCTCCTTGGCCATCTGGGCACACTGCTGGCTCATGTTCAGCTGGCTGTTGACCAACACCCCCAGGTCCTTTTCAACCAGGCAGCTTCCCAGCCACTCTTCCCCAAGCCTGTAGCATTGCATGGGGTTGTTGTGCCCGAAGTGCAAGACCCAGCACTTGGCCTTGTTGAACCCCATACAGCTGGCCTCAGCCCATCGGTCCAGCCTGTCCAGGTCCCTCTGCAGGGCCATCCTACCCTCGAGCAGATCGACACTCCCACCCAGTTTGGTGTCATCTGCAAACTTACTGAGGGCACACTCAATCCCCTCATCCAGACCATTGATAAAGATATTAAACAAGACTGGCCCCAAAACTGAACACCACTTGTGACCGGTCACCAACTGGACTTAACCCCATTCACCTCAAATCTCTGGGCTCGGACATCTAACCAGTTTTTTATCCAGCAAAGAGTACACCTGCCTAGGCCATGAGCCTCCAGCTTCCTTAGGAGAGTGCTGTGGGAGACAGTGTCAAAGGCTTTACTAAAGTCCAGGTAGATGACATCCACAGTCATCTACTAGGTGGGTCACCAGGTCATAGGAGATCAGGTTGGTCAAGCAGGACCTGCCTTTCATAAAGCCGTGCTGGCTGGACCTGATCCCCTGGTTGACCTGCATATGCCTGTTGAGCGCACTCAAGATGAACAGCTCCATAATC